CTTTCAATAGATGACCAAATTTTTTTCGAAAGATAGTTTCCACTTTCTTATTAATGGACATTAAAGTCTAAAAACATATTACAAGCTGATCTTTCTGTTCCTCATTTTTCTATCACGATCTACCAGCAAACGTCTCTATTAGTGTTCCCAACTTCTTGGATCGTGTTACTAATCAGAATCCTGCTGATAACCTTTGGCTATAAACCTCTGACCTAATTCTTGTGCTTGACTCATAAAAGTCCTCCTGCATCGTACAGTTTCTCCTGAGTCTGATCATTTGACCTTTAGGTATGTTTAATAACCACGGCCGGGACAACTGTCTCGAGGAATGTATCCATTCCTATCAACACTCTTAAAAAATGTCTTAGTGTAATTTTGTTTTGTATGATGTTAATATCTAAATCTAGGAAAAGCTAATCCCTCACGGCTATGTTCCCCATGTAAGAACAATATTTTTATCATTCCTATTTAAATTCTCACAGAAACATAATAAATCCTCTTCTCTTCCTTCCATATTAGTATGATATCATCTATATATCTTTTAAACAGAATAAGTTCTTTCGGAGGACTCAAATAAACTGCCATCTTTCCCAATGTGCCATGAACATGTTTGCCACACTGGGAGCAAAAACGGGCTCCCATGGCCACACCCTTAATTTGATGATTATAAAACATGTTCATATGCCAAAAGTAATTATGTTTTAAACAAAATTCTAAACAGTCCAAGATATATTTTCTCTGCCCTCTTTTCAGATTTTCCATTATTTTCTTAAACCCCATTCCGTTAGCTTCCATCCCTTCTGTATGACCAAGGATCGTGTATAACGATGAGACGTAGCTGTTGCCAAGATCACATCATTTCCATCTATATTCTCCAACATTGGATTAGGTGTTTGGTATCTCTCAGATACGACCTAGTCAATCTCACCAATGGTTGGAGAAACATAACGTATTGCCCTAATCGTTGACATTAGAGGAGATCCAATCCCATATCCGGAGGGCAAATACGTGCCATTAGCATTAACTATATGTACGTCCCGGAGGGGCAATACTATTTTTAGGATTTTGGTGATAGTATAGATAATGGGAATTCTACACATTTCAGGAACCACACTATATCTGGCTTCTTTTTTGCTGCCCTCTCAGATACTCCTTCTCACATCCTCTCTTTGATCACCTTTTAGATCTAATCACCCTGTCTTTCTTGTATTTAATCGTGGGGGTCCTTCCCTTAATTATTTCGTAGGTATTATTATCACTTAATTGGGTACCCAGTTCTTCCAAATAATAATTTATTGACATGAAACCCAAACTACCCCCTCCCTTAATCGGCCGGCCTGCCCATATGTCATTTCTTTGGTGTTAACATCTTCATTCCTTTTTGCATGTCTATATTAGCCGAACAGGGAGTTTGAGGGATTCCAAATCTTGGCTTACCATTTTTTTAAAAGATTCTATTTGACAATTATTGCTAATCTGAGGGTTAAATAAGGATTTATTCCTTAATCGAGTATGTTGAATATCACTAACTGGTGCATTTTTAGTCACATTCTTTAGTATTAGACAGGACCCATAAAGTACTTTTGATGTTAATCTTTCTGATGAATTTCTGTAAGTCTATGAAAAATATCACATTGTTGGCTGGTTTTGGAGGGGCAAACTTCAATCCCTTATCCAATACGAGCATTTTCATCCTTGGTGAGTGTAGTACCACTAATATTAAAAATACCCTCTCCTACTACTCTCTTTTTCGCTTGGACCTTCCGTCCTGCTCTTACACCCTCTTGTCTTCCGGGACTTGAATTGGCACATACTTTCTTTCCGGGGACTTCTCTCCCCACCCTCCTTCCCTAAAAAATTCCTCTGTTGGTAATCATAGTCCAATGGTTCATATCTATTATAAACCGGGATGGGACTCTCCCTTCATACCGTGGTCCCTGCCATCCAATTGATCCTGTCTCGGACCTCCTGGGATAGTAGGGCCTATTGTCCTGTCATAGGACTTCTAGGGTAAAAAGGGTCTATCATCCTGTCTAGGGAAATAAGGAGGGCCATAAGGCTGTTGATAAAAAATGATTTTTTTCACTTTTAATATTCCATTATTGGACTTTTTTCACCTTAATATTCCATTATTGGACTTTGAGTTTTGCGTGTATTATTTAGATTTAACTTCACTTGTTATTATTTTATTTAAGTTATTTAATTCCACATTCACTTTAATTAGTTTGTATGTAGTGCAGCATTTATATGGTTTTTTTATTGTCACTATAAAGATGCTGCACTGCTCCTGAATTCAGAGCAAAGTTGCCACTTACACAGACCGAGTAGGAGAAGCATATTTCTGGGAGGACTTATGGGCACATCCTCCCAGAAGCATGCCTCGTGTGCACCCTCAGGGTGTGCAGTAATGCAGTCTGAGATTGCTGTGCCCACCAGACACTGCAGATCACAGTTTGGGGTACAGGGCCACTGAGATTGACCCTGATACCATGTGATCACTGTGACCAATCACAGCAATCACATTAGCAGTAGCAAACAATGCCTTTTATTCATGATCCCATTTGTTACTACTGTGATCTCTGTGATTGGTCACAGTGATCACATGGTACAGGACTAATCACAGTGGTCATGTACCATGTGATAGTTGAGGACAATTGCAGCTATCAAAACTCAGTGGCTGTCAAAAATGATGGCTTATACAGCTGTTTTTGACCTCACTTAATGGTTTGGTCATATAAGTCAGGTGAGTGCACATTGGTGAAGGAGCACACAAGTTAAAGTTTTTGTGGACTTTTTTCATATTTCTCACTAGTGGAAGACACAACATAAGTCACCGATTGTTTTGAAATAAGCACGCAGCTTTAGTAGGATTGCAAACTAAAGTTGGACTCACATATGTCATTTTAAAATTATTTTAAATTATATTCATTAATTTATTTATTTTATATATATATCCTTTTGTGCATATTTCACATTTAATGTTATTAGTGGAGCGCGACATGTTTGTATTTGATCTTGATTATAGTGACACACTTGTATGAGTATGTGTATAGTGTAGGCGACCCACTCACTTGATTTTTTATTTATTTATTCATTTCATTAATATTCATTCAAATTATACACACAGGTATATTAATTTTGCACATATTTCACTTATTTATAATTTTTATAAATTTATATTGGTGTTTTTTTTGATTTCATTTACCCACTTTACAAAGACATGTATGTACAAAAAATACACCATAGTAGCTCACAAGAATCACGTTTTTAAACAAAAATTGACACCTGGGCAAGTCAGTGCTACCAGCCATCATCTCTGGTCACTGCCACAGCAGCACAATGTCAGCAGACAGTGCTACCAATCAGAGTCTGCTGCATCACTCAATGTCCTTAAACACTGCTGTCCATTCAGTGTCCCTAATTACCACAACGCCAAACACTATGTACCTGATCACCACCACACCAGTCTTATAGTCCTTAATCACCACAACACCAGTCACTGTGTCCTTGATCACCATTACACCAGTAACAGTATTCCTGATTACTGCCACACCAGTCCCAGTGTACCTGATCAGTGCCCCACCAGTCATTTTGTCACCATAAGAATTCTCTCTGAAGGGCCATTTACAATCAGATCACTCTTTAGAGAGCACTTTGACAGGCAGTGCGAAAGTGTTGTATCGCTACCTCACCACCTGATTTAACCCTTTGGACCCTGCAAAAGCACCCCCATTAACTTAAATGGGCCGCAATCAGTGGGCAAACAGGGGGTACAGGAGGCATATGTACACCCCCCACCACTGCCTCTGTAGCTAAAAGGGGTAGTGGTTGAGGGGCGGTAAAAACTGCAGCTCAACTGTGAGGTTTTACTGCCCACCGACCACACTTGTGCCTAGTGTCACCAGACCAGTGTAAACCAGCAACAGTGTTCCTGAATACCGTTACACAAGTCCCACTGTCACCAGACCAGCAAAACAGTGTTCCTAACCATCACATCACTAATGCAGTGTTGCCTGTTCCTGCGGCCTGTACTAACCCTGGCCTGTTTATTGACCAAATTTCTGCCTGCTGTCTAGACAGATCCTTTGCCTGTTTGCTGTCCATGTCTCTGCCTGCCGCCTTAACTAACCCATCTGCATATCCAACTGACTATGCTACTACTGCGAGACACCAGTCCTAGCCATCCACTGCAGACAACTGCACTCCTGGAATCACATGAACTCTTTTGTTCACTCTTTTCTTCAGCCTCCTGTACCAGTCCTTTGGATATTGTAAATCTTTTGCATGAATGCCAGTGAACATGGCATTCATGGGGACAGCCTTGCACCAGTAGGCTAGGCTTGGCTTATAGGAACTGGAATTGCAATAGATGATGCTACACTGAGCTATATTCCCTGACCACTTGTACAGAAGTGGCCATTACAGTACATTGGTTTTGACACAATTGGTTGATTTGTGTGATATACAAGATACAATGTCTAGCACATAATCAGTCTAAACAGTGAAAAAGTCTCACATGTGGAATCGCCACGTTTGGAATGAGTAGCAGAATGTGTTTTGAAGTGTAATTCTAAGTATGCCTAAGTATGCTGTGCTAGAAATATCCTATGAAATTGACAACTTTGTGTAAAAATATAAATTTTTATTCCATATTTTCCAAAAAAACTTGTGGCAAAAAAGAAAGTACCGTATTTTTCGCTCCATAAGACGCACTTTTTTCCCCCCAAAAAAGGGGGGAAAATGTCAGTGCGTCTTATGGAGCGAATATAAAGCGGCCGGTCCGGTATTTTTGCGGCCACCATGTCAGAATACCGGGCCGGCCGCTCAGCTGTTGTCTCCTGCAGGCCTTACCTGTTCCTCGCTCCAGCGCTACACAGTCTTCCCGCGCTGGCTTCTGTGACAGCCGGGTGCCCACTGCGCATGTGCTGCACTTTGTGAATGATCCGGTGTCTTCTGGGACACATGACAGGTCCCAGAAGGCGCCGGGCCATTCACAAAGCGCAGCGCTTCTCACGCATGCGCAGTGGGCACCCGGCTGTCACAGAAGCCGGCCCGGGAAGAAGAGGTAAGGACAACTCCGCGGAAGTGGGAGCGGGTACCTGAATTTGACAGGTACCTGCTCCCCCTCCCTCCCCAAAGGTCAGCAGTCTCTGGTCATTCCCTGCACTGTCTGCAGTCTCTGGTCATTCCCTGCACTGTCTGCAGTCTCTGGTCATTCCCTGCACTGTCTGCAGTCTCTGGTCATTCATCCTGCACTGTCTGCAGTCTCTGGTCATTCCCTGCACTGTCTGCAGTCTCTGGTCATTCCCTGCACTGTCTGCAGTCTCTGGTCATCCCCTGCTCTGGTCTGTCTGCAGTCTCTGGTCATTCCCTGTACCGTGTCCGCAGTCTCTGGTCATCTCCTGTACTGTGTCCGCAGTCTCTGGTCATCTCCTGTACCGTGTCCGCAGTCTCTGGTCATCTCCTGTACCGTGTCCGCAGTCTCTGGTCATCTCTTGTACTGTGTCCGCAGTCTCTGGTCATCCCCTGCACTGTCTGCAGTCTCTGGTCATCTCCTGTACTGTGTCTGCAGTCTCTGGTCATTCCCTGCACTGTGTCCTGCAGTCTCTGGTCATTCCCTGCACTATGTCTGCAGTCTCTGGTCATCTCCTGTACTGTGTCCGCAGTCTCTGGTCATCTCCTGTACTGTGTCCGCAGTCTCTGGTCATCTCCTGTACTGTGTCCGCAGTCTCTGGTCATCTCCTGTACTGTGTCCGCAGTCCATTAGTTCAGAATATTTTTTTTCTTGTTTTTTGCCTCTAAAAACCTAGGTGCGTCTTATGGTGCGAAAAATACGGTATTCTAAAGACTGATCATGCTTCTTAGAAAGTACCATGGGTGTTTGCTTTCTAAAATAGGTCATTTTGTGGGTGTTTCCAATGTTCTGGTACCCCAGGTCCTCCAAAAATGTGAAGGTAGTCAGGAAATGTGAAGAAGAAGGAAAATGCGTAATTTATGGATTTTGGGCCCTCTGTATCGCTAGGCTGTGAAAAATCTCATGCATTTGGTATCACATACTCTGAAGGAGTAGCAGAATGTGTTTTGGGGTGTAATTCTAAGTATGCCTATTATGTATGTTGGAAATATCTTATTAATTGACAACTTTATGTAAACAAATACTTTTTAATTTCCTGCATTTTTCAAAAACTTTACATTTTCAAAAGACTCACTATGCTTTTTAGAAAATACCTCTGATTGTTTGGGATTCCAAATGGGGACATTTTGTAGGTATTTCCACTGTTCTGGTGCTCCAGGGCCTCCACAAATGTGATAGTTAATCAAGAAATTAGAGCTGTAATTTCTGCTGCCTGAAGGTGCTCCTTGGATTTTGGGCCCCTCTATGCATCTAGGCTGTGTCTCACACATGTGGTATCCCTTTACTGCCGAAAAACTGACCATATTTCTTACTAAATACTTTTGGCTGTCTGCTTTCCAAAAAGGGGTCATTAGGGGAGGCGGTTTGCACTGTCCTGGCATTTTAGGGCCTCAAGAATTTAGACTGTCAGTACGTCAGGATTGCTCAATTTTTTATTATACTGTATATACCATAGTTTGTAGACTCTATAACTTGCAGACAGACTAAGTAATATACACTGATTTGGGTTATTTTTACCAAAGAAATGTAGCAGAACACATTTTGGCCTAAATTCATGAACAATGATTATTTATTTGCAAAAAAATTTTTTTTATCATTTTCAAACATGTCAGTCTTTTTTCCTTTATATAGCAAAAAAATATTTTTAAAAACTCAGTGGTGATTGAATACCATCAATAGAAATCTTCATCTGTCTAAAAAAAAATTATAATTACTTTTGGGTACAACGTTGCATGCCTGAGTAATTGTCATTCAGTGTGGCAGCACATAAAACTGAAAAATGGCCTGGGCAGGGAGGGGGTGAAACAGTCTAGCCTTGAGGTGGTTAAACTGCCATACAGGAGCCTTTAGTTGTACTTTAGTATATTTACAAAAGAAGATACTTTCCTTTTAAGCTTTCACACAGAAATGTGAAAAAAAACTGGCTGACAGAAGCAACAGTGGAACACCCAAATAGTTGTCCATATCTGACAAATAGAACATAAAAAAGGACATAAATAAAGGAAAGAAAAAGCAGTACTTTCTCAGCATCTGGCAGCAACTTCTGGCATGACCACTAGATACTTTGTTCATGGGAAAAAGTCTTCTAAGAAATAAACTTCTATGATGTGTTGCAGCTAAGAAACCATTCTCGTGGAAAGGCAGCAAGCAAAAGATTTACAATATCCAAAAGACCATAAATCATTTAGCAACAGCCATAAGATCCTGGGAGAGGATCTTATGATCCTAAGGTTACAGTATCTCAGGTTATGAGTTGCAGAAGTCCATTGGTGCCTGTCTAGAGGCTTCAGTGAAGCAGTTATGGTCTAAAGCATGGGCCTCCAAACTACAGCTCACAGTCACATCCAGAACATTTTTTCTGGCCCACTGCTGCAGACCTTAGACTCATTGCACTGGTGGTCTCTGCTCAAGCTACCCCCCGCACCTCAGTAGTATGCATTGCAGATCTCCTGTTTCAGCAAACAGTGCAGTAGATCTAGTCAAAATTAGGAAATTAATGCTGAGAAATATTTTTTATTTATTACAGGGACTTATATAGCACTGTCAATTTATGAAGATCTTTACATATATACAGTACATTCACATCAATCTCTAACAATCAAGGGGCATACAGTCTAAGGTCCCTAACTCACATTCATACATACACATACTAGGGCAGGGGTGGGCAAACTTTTTGACTTGAGGGCCGCAATGGGTTCATATATTGGACCCGGGGGCCGGACCAAGAGTAGATGAATGATGTGTATGTGTCATCCATAGTAAGTATAGTAATATTCCCCCATAGTAAGCATAGTAATTAATCCCCCATATAGTAATTCATCCCCCATAGTAATTCATCCCCCATATAGTAATTCATCCCCCATAGTAATTCATCCCCCATAGTAATTCATCCCCCATATAGTAATTCGTCCCCCATATAGTAATTCGTCCCCCATAGTAATTCATCCCCCATATAGCAATTCATCCCCCATATAGTAATTCATCCCCCCATATAGTAATTCATCCCCCATATAGTAATTCATCCCCCATAGTAATTCATCCCCCATATAGTAATTCATCCCCCATAGTAATTCATCCCCCATATAGTAATTAATCCCCCATATAGTAATTCATCCCCCATAGTAATTCATCCCCCATATAGTAATTCATCCCCCATAGTAATTCATCCCCCATATAGTAATTCATCCCCCATATAGTAATTCATCCCCCATATAGTAATTCATCCCCCATAGTAATTCATCCCTCATAGTAATTCATCCCCCATATAGTAATTCATCCCCCATATAGTAATTTCCCCATATTAATTCATCCCCCATATTAAGTCCCCAAGTCCCCCCTGTGTCAATTCACTTACCTTTGCTCCGCGCGTTCCTCTTGTTCCTCTTGTTCCCGCGCCGTTCGGTGTAGCATGAAAATCTGTCTCCTATGAGGATCTGTCCCCCTCGACGTATCTGCACATGTGCCAGTTTCAGGCATTAGCAGCCGATCGGCGATCTCCGGCACATGCGCAGATACGTCGAGGGGGGACAGATCCTCATAGGAAACAGGGCGGACTATGAGAGGAGCCTAGCGGGAGCCTAGCTTCGCGGGCCGGATTAAAAGGTCCGCCGGGCCGTATACGGCCCGCGGGCCGTAGTTTGCCCATTGCTGTACTAGGGCCTATTTAAACAGGAGCCAATTAACCTACCAGCATGTCTTTGGAGGTGGGAGGAAACCCATACAGGCACAGGGAGAACATGCAAACTCCAGGCAGGTGGTGCTGTGGTTGTGATTTGAACCAACGACCCTAGTACTGCCAGACGGAAGTGCTAATCATTTAGCCACTGTGGTGCTATAAACAAATTCTCTTATATAGTAGAGAGCTTGACCTGGCTACTCCCCATTCACTTCTATATATGTAAGAGGGGCAGACAGACGGTGTAACTCTTCCCAGTTCTGTACTGTGTTCTGCTTTATATTCATTGACAGCTGCATTTTTTTAAAACAAGAACACATGGGTTAAATATGCAAACTAGAGAGAGAATTGAGCGGGCACAGAACTGCCCCATTACCGACCCGGTTCCTGGTATAAACAAAAAATAAGATTTGTTTCTATGGAGAACTTCATATGAGAGAATGATTATATCACTTACCTCAGACAGTAGCACCTCCTATAGAACAGATTAGACAAGATGGCATATGGATAATATCAAATATGGCTAATGCAAAAGTTAACATAGATTGCAAGTATGAATACATGCACAATTTTAACTTCAGTTCCACTCTGAAACTGTAAATTCAGAGTATTTGCCAAAGAAAAAAAAAAACATTAGTTCTGCATTAAGAGAGCACAGTTGATAGCTGTGTCAGCTATGCCAGCAACAGAACATTTTTAATGAGGAAATATTGGCTGAATTGTAGACTAGCCAAAGGCAGATGTTTAACTATTCAGATTTGTAAAGCAGTGTAAAAATGGCCGGCAGTAGGATCGGGGTATGTCTAACTTTAATTTTTACTATTGCAATTGTGGTTGCAGGTAATGAATGTGATATAATCTAAAGTGGGTTAGGTGCCCACTGTTTTTCTACTTAGTTTTCTCTTTCAAACAACACAGTGGTGTGCTGCAAATAAACCACAGCTCCAAGAACAGATGGTCAATAAAAAGTGAATGCTGCATTTTGAAAATCCAAATCTTTAAAAAAGGCATAAATATAAACTAAACTATAAATAAACATTAAACCCCCAAAAGAAATTATAACCCCAAAATACTATTCCTAAAACAAAAGCCCACTTTTTTTCTAAAGTAACAAAAAGCAGTAACCTAAAATAAAGGCCCTATCAACATAAAATAAAAACCAATATACCTTAAAACAAATTGAAACCCCAAAACATCACCATATTAAATAAAAGCTCACTTTTTATAAAGGAAAGCCTTACAGGGGAAAAAAAGTTTGTTATAGACAGGACAGCAGCTAAAAGTGACAGCTGACCTCAAATCAACCTAATAATAACATCAAAGACAAAAAAAAACCCAACAATAACAAAAACAATGCAGCAAATGGGCTATTAGTCCAAAAGAGCTGGCAATCAGAAATAAAGTAAAGTTTCCTAACTCACCCTATTTTTTCCCCTTGCAATTTGTTAGTTTTCCTTTACCTTCCCCTACAGCAGAATAAATTATGTCAAACTATGATTCCTTTGTGCCCATCCCTTTTACAGCGAGGGGACTAGCTTATCCAAAAGCCCCCTTAATGATCCTTCCAAGCCTACTGCCCATGGTCCAAAGGTCATGCAGCGTTTATGATTTTAAAAATATTTGGACATAAATTTGGTGGGGCCATGAATTCCGCACCTGCAGCATTTGCTGCAAATCTCTAGTAGCAGTGAAACTGAACCTAATCCCTCTTATGGGGCACTTATTGTGGTATGCATATGTAGCATGTACTGCAAGTAGACTAAATCTCTTTTAACTAGCCTATTTAAGGCCAAACCCAATATTTAGTTTAATGTATCAATGCCCAATATTCAGTGTAATATAGGCACACCAATGTATTGCTGAGGTAGGCTACATAAGCCGCATGTCATCTAAGCTTCAAGGTATAATCTAAGCTTCATGTCATCAGAGCTTCG